TAGTTGGACTTATGGGGCGAAGTTCAGCTGGAAATACTTCATATACAACTACTGAGGTAAGTAGTTTATTATTTGAGGAAAATCATCCATGAGACCAAGGGTTTATTGATGGAAAAACTGTACTGTATGCTGATAACTACTGGTTCTACAGCTACCACAGTTTGTCCCAATTTGGTAATGAAAGGTGAGAAATAGCCTCCAGCAATAATGAAAGAAGACGGATTGATGTGAATGGCAAATAAACATAAAATTCCAGCAAAAAGGAAGTTGCCATTATTGTGTGAAGCTTCTCTATACCTTATGATGTGTGGTTAATTGACACAAAAAAGCATATCCGGAAATGACTTCATGTAAAGACGTGGATTGACCTGCAAGTGACAACAAGGAGGACAGTCATTGTACCACCAAGAAATTAAATACTCATACCAAAAGTTATTAGAAATAAATTTACATCTAGTGACTGTGATGTAATAGAAACAATCACTCCAGTATTTAATGAAGGATTAATGGTTAATAAAACTGTCATGTATCTGAAGAAAAAGGATGGCATCATTAAGGCCATGAACACAAAAAAAACATAAAATTAGAGTGAAATCTGGGTGGCACATTGCAAAATATGATGCTATACAGGTAACACTTCTACAATAAGAACATAAGAAGTAGTCACCTTTGAGGAAAAATGTAGGAACTCTGATGTCAAATCTATAAATAAAGACATCTTACCACCTCACTTATAAGAGCTGTATGACCAGATTTGTGTTTTTTTATTTGTTTGAACTTAAGCACAAAGCTACACAATGGGCTATATGTGTTGTGCCCACCACGGGTACTTAAACACAGTGTTTAGCTCTTTCAAGTCTGTAGAATTACCACTGTGCCACTAGTTGAAGTCACTGGTGAATTTTGTCAATCCAGAAGGCTGCATAAACTCCAGAAGTGGCGGAACCATAAAAATGCTGATGCATTATCCCAAAGACCACGTGTTAATGAAAAAAGTAAACACTGGGGAAAAGGGGAAGCATAAGATAGTAAAGACGATCAACCTAATGTACAATAGAGTATAATCCAAGATGTGACATCCACAAGTGATCATGAAGATTTGATGTGACCTAATACTCAACTGATACATACTCAGGAAAAATATACGAGTTTGAAACCAATTATTCAGTAAATTGAGAATAGAGAACAAAGTCACTTCATACAGACCTAAGACAAATATTTACTGAACACAGTGGGATTCATTATTTTTTGCAAGAGTGCTTGTTATGTTGGGAATGAGAAAACACCAATAGTCAGAATCAATGACTACCATTGGTACTTCCATAGTCTGTACATTCTGAAGCACTTTATCATCTCCACAACCTTCCCATGACTGAACACTTCTGTGTTAAGAAGACACGGAAGTGAGTAAGAGGAAATGGTGTAAAAATGTGAACTATTCTGTGAGCAAAAAATTCCATGAAAGAAACAGCTTGAGCAGCTACAGAAGTATTGTATTGGAGCACCACTTGAATTGTTGCTGTGGGAATAAATACCTTATAATTGTGATGGATAATTTCATGAAATGGCCAGAAGTATATGCTTTCCTAACCAGGAAGTAGAGACTCTAGCAAGGAAACTTGTTCACAAATTTGTTTCCAACTTTGGTGTGCCTATGGAGTTTCACTCAGATCAGGGACAGAAATTTAATTCAGCCTTGTTTGTGGAAGATCCTTGGGATAAAATAGACCAGGACAACAGCCATTTATCCATCTTCTGATGGCATGATTGAGAGATACAATTCTACACTTTTAAATCAATTAGTTATTTATGTGGGTGATCACTATTGTGGCTAAGTTACCATACAAAAGTACATGAAGTTACATGCAACACATAATCATCACTGATGTTTAGAAGAGAACATAAAGGGACACTGAACCTTATGTACTCTCATTTAGAGAATTTATTCAACAGAGTCTTACACAGAATATGCAGAGAGACAAAGTAATACCATTGAAGTCATAGATGACTTTACTCCTGAAAGACTTAAATCAACTAGTGATAAAAAGAAGGTTGCTGTGATGTTAATGCTGATAAGACTGGATTTAATTTAGTATGGGTATACAATCCCTGCAACAAGAAAGGACAAACTCCAAAGTTAAGCAAATGTAGGGATGGGCCATATGTACTGAAAATAATTAATTATGTGGTTTACAGAATACAGAAGGACAGCTAATTATAGCTAAAGTTCATCAACCATGGTTAGTTTGGGATGTACGTCAGTGAGAGAAGAGACAACTGATTAATTCCAGAGAATAATTTATCAACAGACATTCAACCTGCTGAAGAGCCCAGGGTTTTTGTAAATACTACTTCCAGAGAATAAACAAGGATAAAGCTATCAGAGAATTCACTTGACCACCTGTCTTGGGAGAACCTCTCAAGTGATAAGAAGTAAATGATAACATGGGACAAGAGGCTATCCCATCTTTATGCCATAATCACCAGAAAATAAAGCCATCACGCTGATAACAGTAGATTTAAAAATTATATAAAAGTAGTCCTAGAGTATCTATAATGTTCATAAATGTTAGTGATCAAGATACTTTGTGAAATATCTAGAAACAAGGATATATTATAAATAAAAGATTTAGTAAAGCACTGAGTTAGCTTTCAGTTCTTTTTGTGATTGAGAAGTTAGTGTAGTACCCAGATCAGTGTTAGTTATCAGTGGTTGGTTACACGATCGGTTAGCTGTGAAAATGTATAGGTAAATTTGTTGATTGAGTAAGGAAGCATATTACTTATAAAAATATTTGTGAACTAGGGCTTACAACTTTATAAAATTGATAGTACTCTGTAGGAAAGGTTAAGGAAGAAATTAGCTTGTTATCGTTAGTGGAATAGAGGTGGCCTTATATTCTCCAAATAAATTAAAAGAAACCCCCCATGAAAGAACACATTGCTGTCTTCTGTCCAGTATTCTCTCTCCCAATTTGATTTTTTTTTACTCTTTAACATTGTTGTGTCTCTTTCTTGCTTTACACTCAGTTAGGGTCATAATTTAAATTTACTCCGATGTATATTTCTGGTCCATCCTCATGTTATTTGCGGATACAACGTGAAAGTATATCAACGAATCTAAGAAAACCACAGTTTTAGTTGTTATTGGTTATTTTCTGGTAGCTGTTTATTTGTAATGATTTTCTTTGTGAATGTAGCTCATAAAGAATACTTAAAACCAAAACGTCGAGCTAGTGAAACTATTTAAATCTATCTATCTATAAAAATTGATACTGAATGAAAAACAAAAACGATAAATAAAATTAAATATTGAGCTTATATTTGTGATATAAAAATCACACTTAACTTTAGGTTGTTTTTCTTACCATCCTGCTAATCATTTCATTGTTGTTGTTGTACATAAGTAGCATTCAGATTGGTCTTTTGGTTAACATAGTTCCAACCCAGCTTTAAAGTGTTAGTATTAAATGATAGGTCTCATTGGCAATGACTTGTGATTGGCTTTGAAATGGTACTTTTACACCCCTTTGATATGAAATCTATAAGAAATGAACTAATTAAGAGAGAAATAAAAATGAACTTCTAGTTCTAGCGAGATATTTTGCCATAAATAATAGTCCTAGTAGTTACCATTACTTCATAAGTATTGGCGTTTAACACCGTTAGCATAAAATTAAATATTCTTAAATTAGTAATTTGCCAACAAAGTTTAGCCTGATGATTATTCTATTCTCTTTGCTTCTTTCCTGAAGATAAGATTTCTAATAAATATATAAATTGTCAGCTGTCTATATTAGAAATATATAATAAAATCCCGATTTTAATGTTGACATTGTATTGTTTATACATAGATTATCCTTTGTAACGACAAAAAACAAACACCCAAGAGCTTTGTGGTATTATCATAAATTTAAATATTTTTTATTTAGAGATGGCAGCACAAGCGAAGCTAAAATATTATTTTATTAACGTACTCGCATGTATTGTCAATTATCAAATTGTATTTTAAAGATATTACTTCAGTGTTTCATCTGTTGTTTTCATTATGAGTCATTCATTTACACTGAGACGAATCCATTTAGCCACTAATTTCTTGTTTTTCTTTTAAGTATATATTTTCCAGTAGTGAGTATTATGCATAAAACAAACCTGAATGAATTCAATTAAATGATTATTATACAATAATTTATTAGGGCTATTCTGTTGCTTTGTTGGTCATTTATCTCCTTTCTGTTTACGTGGTACAAAAGTTTTTGATTTATTGAAAACTCGCGACCAGATAACATAAACAAACGTGTTCGATGTATGTGAAATTCAGAACTTCCCACTGTATTATGCACCGTAACAGAAGCCTTAGCACATGCTGACCATACTTCCTCGTGAACACAGCAAGACTCACACGTAAAGCTATTACGTAGCCCTATGAACAACACAAGAGAGCCCGACAGTCCAGCCTTGAAAAAGCTGGCGTACCAAAAAACAAAAAAAAAATATCTCGCATTGCGCAACTCAAATCAGAGCATCTAACTTTTCTAAGTAATTTTGGGTTTTCTCCGCGTTTGATTAGGTAGGAAGAAAGATCTTTTGTCCTGTTATATTTGAAATGTTTTTACGGTGCACATAGATACTCGTCCCTTGGTGAGACAGCGGTAAGTCCATTGACTTGCAACGCTAAAATCCGGGGTTCGATTTCCAGCGGTGGACACGGCAGATAGCCCAATGTGGCTTTGCTATAAAACACACACCGATAAGCACGCTCTTTTCTCGAGACAATAATGTGTTAATATTTGTGCATTAAACATAGAATATGACTATCGTGAGTATGTACGTATTACTTCTTCTAGCGACAGCGTTATGACGTTGTGTCTTGTAACGGTTTACGTCACAAAGAGGAAGGCTGGTTTTTGATGTCATAAGACTGATAACGTGATAATTTTGTTACGGTGGGAAGTAAATAAAAGGTTATTTTGAAACAGACACGTTACGAGTAAGTTCTATCCGTGCATTTTGTAATTTTGGTGTCTAGCTACTTAGTTATGTACTGTTCAAGTGAAATATGCAAAATAATAAAATAATTTGTGTATCCAAGGGTATAGTCTCATCGTGTGATAAGTGGTTGAACAGGTAAAACTTCAAACGTTGGAAACGTTATGCATTCGTCCTCAACGTACGTGTACCGATCTTCTTGCGCTCGCAGCCAGACTATCTTTACCAGTGACGGTGTCTCGCGCACTGTGTACAGAGACCGTAACCAGGGCTGGTGCTGAAAAGCGCCAGTTACCACAAAACGAGAGCGAGAGGAGCTTGTGCAGTGTTTTCAATAGAGAAGTCACTGTAGTGATGGCGTTCGTATTTTGGTGAGCATTATCTATGATTATAAACGTTACAGCTTTAACTGATAATTAAGTTATATCTTGCAAATATTAATAAAGATAATGTAACTAAATATACGTATCCAAACCCACAGAATTGTTTTTGGAAATTACTTTTCATTCAGGTCATTTTGTAAACATAAATATGCATTTGGAAGTTCAACAGAAAAACAGTGTTCACTAGGAAGTCTGTATTATGTATTTTCTAGTTATTTCGTGAAATAACAAGGGTGTGTTGATATGTAAGTTGTTTATTTGTTGGAACCCTTATAGAAATAGTAATTTATTGCATTGTCTGAAATGGTCTTTATATATATAGATACAATATGAAATGGCATTTCTGATTAATATGTGAATATATTATCTATTTGTGATAATGATAAATGATATTGTATTTTTATGAAATTTAAATAATCGTTTAATATTCTTTGTAATCATACATTTCTAGTCTGCCGATAGGTGTAGGTATGGCTATGTGGGATTCATTACTTAATTTATATGGTCCACTGTTTAGAATGTTCATATTTATAAATATTAATAGCTCCGTCAATATATCTCAGAAATATGAAGTTTCGGGGAGTGATGTCCTGTATGTAAAATAGCCAATTAAAAAAGGCAAGTGTGCAGTTGAATTTTGAATTAGAGAAGTTGTAGTCCAGATTTGTTGTCATATAATTATAACTGATGAATTAATTGTTTAAGTTGTCAGCAACTTACGTAAGATAGGCCTTTCAATGTTTACTTACGTTTCATTTACATGAGTGTGGCCTTCCCACGACTCTAAAATTAGGCCAATTTGTTTGACAAGTGAAAGAACATAGTAGTTTTAGCTGTCAAGACGTTTAAAAGTGGCTCATTAATAAGTTCTAGTGTGTTAACCATTTAGTTCAGATGGCAGAGCACTCGTTTGGTGAGAAACATGTCTGGAGCCCCAATTAAAAGCGAGGAAATTTATAATGTGAAAATAAATTACCACATTTGGGGATGAGCACACTCTGTAACAGATTCATTAACACCCTAGATAGCTAGTAAACACTCACTTGTATTACATTCTTTCTTCCTAGCCAAATTTATATTGTGAAAATAAATTACCACATTTGGGGGATGAGCACACTCTGTAACAGATTCATTAACACCCTAGATAGCTAGTAAACACTCACTTGTATTACATTCTTTCTTCCTAGCCAAATTTATAATGTGAAAATAAATTACCACATTTGGGGGATGAGCACACTCTGTAACAGATTCATTAACACCCTAGATAGCTAGTAAACACTCAATTGTATTACATTCTTTCTTCCTAGCCAAATTTTGTATTACTCAACACTATTCGGGACACTCGTAAAATTTCTAGGTACCACCCGTCATCGCCAAATTTCTAGAAAATTCGAGACGTTACGTGCTCATCATATCACGCGAAATCTATAACTCTTACCATCCAACAATACAAAACGCCTAAATTAGAATAATGGAACATATCTCACAACATTATATTGCTTATCACGTTAACATTAAATACAGCTCATCCTAAGCTGATATCACCGTATTGATAAATTGACAGACGACAGAAGGTTATGTCGATCAACAAGTTAATAGATAAAGAAACAGAGAAAAATTCAATATGCAAAAAAATAAGTAGGTCGATCAAACTGGATAGATAGACAGCTAGTTGGATAGCAAATGAAAATATGCAGATATAGAGACAGGCAGGATTATTCAAGATTATTATTAAAGAAGTGAGATCAGTTAAGTTCAATGTTCTTTTTATGATGATACGCATTCTATTCATCCAGCCACTTCTCAGAGCACATTTTTAACATGAACGTTTCTCTGTCTGATACACGACATACTGAGGACTTCCTCTAAAGGATTTAGGGAATTCATGTTGCTATCAGTAGATTGCTCGTCTGTTGCTTTTCCTTGTATTCTAAGTTGGAAGAGTTCAGCTGTTATCTCAACTTTCCATTATACTGCTAGAGTTTTTAAGAACTGTGGTACTTACGATAGTAAAAACCAATGTGTACCAAGATCAGTCTTTATATGAAATTTCTATAATTTCATAAACGGTACTCTTGAAACAAACCAATTTAGATATATCGTGAATTTCGACCAAAACAGATGTTAGTTGATGGAGAAAGACGGTAAAGTTCCAAGATCTATATATTGTTTGAATACAACCAATTGGCTAAATTTAACACATGCACATGGTAAAAAACAAATGGGCGGTCACTGTTAAATATAATACATGTATTTCGCTTTTCTTAAAGATATAAATTATTTTCATTTTATAAGCATGTGTATTACAAACACAATATTAATAACAAATGTATAAGCCTGCAAAAAGCGAAGAAGTTGTTCAGCCATTTCTTCACATCACTTCCCCTTTCCGGCAAATCTTCGATCAGAATGCCAAACATATGCAAAGAAAGTGACGGAATGGTTCAAATTTCAAGTTAGTGAATTGAATTGATGCTATTTTTGAACATATAATATTTTCAGTTCGTATAGGCTTCAAGAAGAGAGTAAACGTTCATTGTAAGTCAGCTTACATTAACTTTATACTAGGTTTATGTATAGGTTTTTATTCCAATTTTGGCGGTAGCTTTTCGGTACTGCTTTGCAATACTAATCCAACCATAAAGAAGTCTATCTTGCAAGTTTCTCAAACGGAAGAAATATTTATTTGTAGTTAATATTATGATAAATTTAGATTTTTTTCCCACAAGCCTCAACGCTTTTGTTTATCCAGTGGTTGAGTATTACTTCCTGCTTTTATATTACTTGGAACACCCATTACACGTTCAGCAGAATATCATTTTAATGGTTGTCTCTATGTAGTGGTGCAAATTTTTGACGTCATAATTTATAATCTTGTTTATAAGACCACGATTTTCGCCTTAAGAGTTCGTTATAATAAAACAGGTAGACACGTAGTTTTCCCAGAAATCGGATCATATCTGCAATGAGTAACAGTGGTATGCCCTGATTTTTTAACATTTTGGCTTACGTCGTAACTTGTGCTATGTTGATTGATGCAGTCAAGTCTGAGGAAGTTGGGCCATTCTAACTGAACTTGTAATTATAAAAATGGTGTGTTTCTAAAGGAAGTGATGTTAAATCATCTAAGTATGGAATCAGTTCGTTTCATTATGCTGCTGTTAATATATAATTAGCCTAGAAACTAAGCTTCAATTAGATCTAATTCTTCGAAAGACGATCCGCTAGAATCTCCAAAAAAGCTAACAACACAGTAGTTACACCATGATAGTATTTGCAGTTTTTTATTACTTTAAATATAGTTGTAATTGTTAGCTATAGTATATATGTTCTTATACCAAATTTACTCATTCAACCGTTCACACCCAAATATGGCGTAACGCACCCACCAACATTTCTAAATATTTTAATTCTGACTTTCGACACACAGGAAAAGAGTTCATAACGAGTTCTATCTTGATAAACTTTTTTGTGTTTTCAGTCTTTTATGTTTATCCGCCGCCAACACACTTGTTCGGTGTGTATTGAAATACTACCCACGCGTTACGTGTACATAAATGCATAATGTTTTAGTTGTCACCTGCCCGAAAAGATACAAGAGACGCAAACTTTTTACCTAATTAGCTACCATAGTAAATAACTATTATCGATAAAGTAGAATTACATTTGCACGTAATCGTGTTGTAATTATTACTCCATTAAATCTTGCAAACCTATAGATCATTGATTCTGTTTGGTCTATACCCATCAGTAGGCCTACTGTTATATTCTGTTTCTTTATTATATATTGGATCCTGTTGATTAAAACTATTGTTGTAACAGTTGGTATTGATGGATGGGCTCTTTTTGGATCATTTGGTAAAAAGAATAATGCAAAATCCAGTCCATTAAATGATAACAAAAGCGTGTAATTTTTCAAAGCTGTTCAAGTACAACGTGAGCAAATTCCACGTAACTAACGGCCTAGCTTTACAAATAAATAACCCTTCAAAATATTTCACTAACTAATTCTCTCGTACATACAGTACTTGTAGGATCTGTTGTGATTCGTTGAAAACAAATTCATAATTTACAGCTATTGAAAAATAACTTAATGGTTGACTCTGTCATCTATCCAACTGTATAACAGACTCAATCAATCAACAATAAGATGAAAACTACTCTCGTTTCACTGGTGTTTTATACTTTCAAATCATTTCCTAAACTTTCAAGAAAATTCCAGACGTTAAGCCACGCGCGTATGCATGACATAAAAATTCCCTCTGGCGAAATAACAGTACAAACATATAAATTACAAAATCATAGTCTTCAACTATATGTACGTGTAATTCATAGGTAACGAACAAGGGTGTATACTATAAACGTTTAAGATATACCATTGTGATTTTAACATTAGACATAATAATAGCAAAACGTGATCATTTCTTAACAATCTTATTTCATACAGCCATACATGGATATACATTTATCGACCTTATATTTTTATTTAACATACATTGTGGCGTCAAAGCAATTAAACTTGTGTAAAAGAAACTGTATGAGCGTTTACCTATATATATATATATATATATATGTACCAAATATTATTGTCGCATCTGTTTTGTTTTTTAGTACAAAGTTACACAATGAAGTATCTGTACTTTGTCTATTTTAGCATTGTAAGTCCTGAACCTTACCGTTGACCCACCGGGAGACTGTCACATCTTACCATTCAACTTATTTAAATAATCCTATTTTATGAAACAAATCTTAATATCATCGTCCAATGTGTTATAGGGATCAATAAGAACAAACAAATAGACTATATAATCTTATCCACTAAACCGGCGAGGGTTGAGATTGCTTCACACCTCGTTTAATTTGTTTACGACTGTACTGTCCCATTACCAAACAGTTGTTGGCGGTTTGTACGTGTTTATTGGTGCTTGACTGATCCTTTTTTGAGGTCTATTTACGTTTCTTATACTACATATAAATAGCCCCCCCCC